AACTTAGGATTCTTGATTTATTTTTGAGTTGCCAAATTTTGTTGAAGTGTGTTAAAATTTTACTTTTTAATATAAACATGTTATTCATTATGAATATCTTTAAAAATAAACAGTCTGTTAAAAATGCTCTTATATCGTAATCATGATGTGAGAACTAAGATGATATAATAAATAAGATTAATGTTATGTAGCACAAGTATCTTTAGCAACCATAAGCCTTTGTTTTGCTGCCAAATTATAAATGGTTAAAAATTTTAGTCAACGACAAACATTAATTTCAATTACACATTTGTAAATATTTTTCATTATTATTCAAATATTTCATCAAAACCACTATTATTTCTCTTTATAAAATATTTACAAATTTACCAAATGGAGACTAAAACAATGGCCAAAAACCTAAGTATAAGGCATAGTTTAGTGGTGAGTATGTAAGTATCATTAATTGATAGATTACCTTAAAAATGGGTAAATTAATCATATAACCAATGAATCGGATGGTCTGATCCAATTGCTCTAATTATTACATTCAGCAAATGAAGAGGGAGAGCTTCAAACCTAGGCATTTGACATAACTATTACAACCTTAACCATTTGACATGATATATATAATTATAATATATAATTTAAAAAATTGTTATCTTTTGTTTTATAAAATATTTTCAATAAATATTACAGTCTAGCAATGATCCATAGGTTGAACCACTAGTCCACCAGTTGAACCAAGACTCGGTAACCCGTTGATTTTTTCGGGTCGAGTTTGATAATTATAGTTGCATGTTATTTTACGTTGGTGCTATATAAAATTATTTCGAATAAATTAATTCAAAATCCAAAAATGTAATCCTTCTAGAATTAATAGGGAAGTGGGAGTGGGAGTGGGAGTGGGAGTGGGAGTGGGAGTGGCGTGGGGTGGGGATGTAGGTATAATTCTTAGCTAATGTAGCTAGCTGGGTAAGAAGAGGAACATATAACAGCATCAATGCATGCACTAACCAAAGGTATTCGTAGATCTTGTTGTCTAAATTAACTGCATATTTTTGTCATCAACAAAAAAGTAACGAAGTATACGATCTTCTGACTCATCCACTTATATTATGCTTGTGTTACCTTTGTTCTTCCTGTAATTAATAAATATTAAGTTAAGTACCTAGGTTATAGCATACACCAAATATGTTATTGAGTTATGATCCATTCAAAATTCGTAGGGGGAAAAAAAACAATTCAGAAGTCCTTGTATGGTTTGGTTAAAAATTATATTTTTGGTAAAATTTAATAAAATTTGATAAAATATGCAGTTAAAAAAGTTAATATAAATTATGGAACCATTAAATATGCGATTGAAAATAAATTTGAAAAAAAAAAAGAATTTTAAAAAATGACACTCGTATACTTATGGCCATTCACAGTGAGTGGACAAGCAATAAATGAGTTCATTATAATATGCAATACATATAAAATTAATTATCTATATATTAATTAAAATTATTATTAACTTTTGTACGTTATGAAGACACCTTAAAATCCGTCAGATAGTAGATATGCATAAAAGGAATGGAGCCTTTTGTAGTTAAACTCATTTACTTTAAGAGGGATAAATAGTGACTTTTATTTTTTAACCAAGGAGTAAAATTAGGTCTCAATTTATATATGAATAAATAATACATCAAATCACTACTTTTTTCTTCCTAATATGATAAGAAAATGTTTATTAATTTTCCATGCTTATGTAGGTCACAAAGGAGCAATTCATCGAGCTAGCAAGAAAATCACCAAAATTTAATGATGCAAGTCTCGAGTTCCAAAAGAAAATCTTAGAGTCCTCCGGAATTGGAGATAAAACCTACGTCCCAAGATCCATCATTTACCCCGAAAATATTTCTACAATGAATGAAGGTTGAGCTGAATTTTACATAATTTAGAATCAATCTTCCTAATATGATAAGAAAATGAATGATTACAACAACGTGATTATATTGTAAGTCTAATTATATAACTTAGAACTACTTTTGTCTTCGTATCTAATTAGAGATGCAAGTTTGTTTGTTTTTTTTTTCTTTACGATTAATTTAATAGTTTAGTTTATCGTCTTTAGTGTAATAAGTGAAAATAATAATTATACTGGACAGTCTTAGATTGACTTTATCGGATATAATTAGTGTAGCTTGAATTACATAAGTCTGAACGGGTCCATTTGGTAACTTCACTAAAATTTTTGGATTTAATTGCGTTATTTAATAAAGTTGAGGATCTAAAAGTGCAAAATGACAAAATAGAGGTAGAGATTGATTGGAAGCACAAGACCTAGTCAGCTAGGGTTAAGGATGTCAATTGATTGGAAGCACAAGACCTAGTCAGCTAGGGTTAAGGATGTCAATGAGTCGGCTCGCGAGCCAAAACTCAAAGCTCAGACTCAAAAGTAAAAATAGTTTAGATTTTTTTTTAGCTTAAGCCGAGTTGAGCTTTGCTCGATGCAAAAATATAGGTTCAACCCCAGCTTTTAGCTGCCTAAATAATTTTTTTATTTTTTATTTTTTTTTGCTTGGATCGAGTTATGGGCCATTTGAATCAGCAAGTCAAATTGACACCCCTATTTAGGGCACACCAGAGAAAAAAGAGATTTGATCTCTTGATACTCTGTTCTTATTCAAAAATTTTGAAATCTTGATTTGTTCTTGAGTTGCTTACCGACCAATTGCAATTTATACTTTTCGGAGAATACAAAAAACATATTTGGCTTTGAAAGTTCGAAAATTGAACATTAATATTTAAGAAGATGATTGAAGCAATTATTGGCTGGATCAGAACTCAAAGTTCTATTTCAGTATGCTTGTGTGATTAACATGAATGTTATAACGTGAATCAAATAAATTAGTAAAGATCTTAGAATAAATATTATTAAATTAAAAAAAAATTATAATCTAGTTTTTACTCTCATAAACTTTTTTTTCATGTTGACATAGATTTTTCCTTCAAGACTATATTGCTGATTTACTAGACTATGATTTTATGAACGTGATACACTTTCAAAACTGATTGAAACCCGTTGATGTAGAAACCCAGAAGCCTTCATCATTTAACGACATTGTAAATGAATCCTCGGAACTTAACCAGTCGTCTCGGTTCTCATTTCCGTCGAACCCATAGTAGAAAGGGTAATACCCCAATTCAGGGCCAAAACTCTGCACAGATAAAGGATCACCATTCCAGTTAACATCTTCGACATTATCTAGTACTGAAACATCGGACATGTTCGCTTCGCAATTCATTTCCACCGCCATGGCCCCAGTTTGAAGGATTTCAGAATCTGTCATTAATTTCTGCCTCTGGCAATTGGTGCGATCAAAATCAGCACTACTTGACTGGGATTGGGATTCTGAATTAACTTCGGAAATGGGATGCATTTGTTCCTCCATTATTCTTGGAAGCCACATAGAGCGCATGATGTCGAGAAATTGTATACTATTCACGTCGCATTTTAGCTGCTTTGCTTGCTTTTTGATAATTGTTCTCCAGTGGTTCTTTATTTCGTTATCAGTTCTTCCTGGTAACCTTTTCGCAATCTGTGTCCACCTTCATTAATTTTTGTTTCAGACCAAATAATTAATGAAAATCGAGGTGACAAGAGTAACATAACAAAGACAATTGTACAAAAAAGATGCCGAATTTGTATGAACATACCGATTTCCATAGCGCAAGCGTAGCTCTATGATAAAAAGTTGTTCTTGAGGAGTGATGTTTCCTCGTCGAACATTTGGATTCAAGTAGTTCAACCATCTTAATCTGCAGCTCTTACCTGTACGCCTCAACCCTTAATCAATGGCGAAAATTGTTGGTTATTGAGTTAAATACTCTGTTTTTTTTTTAATTAAAATTACTTGAAGGACTATTCAATGAGTTTATATGATTGAGAGTTGAAAGTGTCATCTATATTTCATGTACCCTTGTCACACTCCTCGTCCCATGCGATTAATGAAATATTTTGTTGATTCTTGGTTAGGTCAAATAAATCAACAAATTGATACCAATTTTAACTTTGAAGTCTTCGTCCCATCTTGATTAACATTAAGAGATGCTTTGAAGTATACTTTTTTTACGTCTTTTGTGTGTGAACAAGGTGCCGAAGAAAGCTCCATCCAAATGTATATATACTATTTGTGGGCCAGCATAATATATTAATAATATAAAGAAATAAAACTGAAAATTTAAAAAAAAAAAAAATAGACTTTGGAATATATCCTTTTCTCTTTTGCCTTTACCAACTCTAGACATTTCTCGTTTATTATGCGTTAAAGAATCCAATTCAATATAGTTGTCGTACAGTGAAGGAAATATTATAGTTTATTATAAGGTTAAGGAATCAAATTACTCTCCTTGAATCGACAATTGTAAAATAAAAAATAAAAAATTGAAGGAATCAAATTACCCCTTTTTTTTATTTCCAATTTTAATTTTTAGTTGAGAAATGTAATATTGCTGAGCCATTCACCTGTACAGTCCTCAATTCAAGAATCAGAGAGGTAACCATCAACTAAGATAAATTGATGTCAGCCCTTGTCCCTCTCTAGGTTACCTTGCAGAGCTTGGGACTTTTGGTATTTTGGATTTTGATATTTGTACAGTCCTAATCAAATTACACTCCCTCACAACCGCACGCGCCGGGGGCGGGGGGGGGCGGGGGACACCAATTAAAAAAGGCACGACTCCCTTGTTGTGAGGAGGCTGTAGCTTTAGCACTTTTACTTTTTTGTTGACAAGGAAACTTGCAACCGCTATCCGAAGGTGCGCACTAGGTAAATCCGCCTTATGATCCTAGCCGGCAAAGGACCACAAGGAGGTAAACCAGCCTAGATTATTGGCTGGATCAGAACTCAAAGTTCTATTTCAGTATGCTTGTGTGATTAACATGAATGTTATAACGTGAATCAAATAAATTAGTAAAGATCTTAGAATAAATATTATTAAATTAAAAAAAAATTATAATCTAGTTTTTACTCTCATAAACTTTTTTTTCATGTTGACATAGATTTTTCCTTCAAGACTATATTGCTGATTTACTAGACTATGATTTTATGAACGTGATACACTTTCAAAACTGATTGAAACCCGTTGATGTAGAAACCCAGAAGCCTTCATCATTTAACGACATTGTAAATGAATCCTCGGAACTTAACCAGTCGTCTCGGTTCTCATTTCCGTCGAACCCATAGTAGAAAGGGTAATACCCCAATTCAGGGCCAAAACTCTGCACAGATAAAGGATCACCATTCCAGTTAACATCTTCGACATTATCTAGTACTGAAACATCGGACATGTTCGCTTCGCAATTCATTTCCACCGCCATGGCCCCAGTTTGAAGGATTTCAGAATCTGTCATTAATTTCTGCCTCTGGCAATTGGTGCGATCAAAGTCAGTACTACTTGACTGGGATTGGGATTCTGAATTAACTTCGGTAATGGGATGCATTTGTTCCTCCATTATTCTTGGAAGCCACATAGAGCGCATGATGTCGAGAAATTGTATACTATTCACGTCGCATTTTAGCTGCTTTGCTTGCTTTTTGATAATTGTTCTCCAGTGGTTCTTTATTTCGTTATCAGTTCTTCCTGGTAACCTTTTCGCAATCTGTGTCCACCTTCATTAATTTTTGTTTCAGACCAAATAATTAATGAAAATCGAGGTGACAAGAGTAACATAACAAAGACAATTGTACAAAAAAGATGCCGAATTTGTATGAACATACCGATTTCCATAGCGCAAGCGTAGCTCTATGATAAAAAGTTGTTCTTGAGGAGTGATGTTTCCTCGTCGAACATTTGGATTCAAGTAGTTCAACCATCTTAATCTGCAGCTCTTACCTGTACGCCTCAACCCTTAATCAATGGCGAAAATTGTTGTGAAAATTGTTACATAAGAGTAAAAGATGGCGATAAATGATATGAAAGTAATAAGTAACGATTCAGGAGATTTGATTATGCTTACCTGCGTTACAGGAGAGGGCTTCCCATCCTCCTTCGCCATGGATAGCTATATAATTTATGAGTTTTGAGTCTTCGTCGCTAGACCATGGACCTTTTCTTATGCTTCTCTCTTCTTCTTTCTGAGGTATACTGCTGCCATATATTTCTTTGGCGTACATTGCTAGATTGAAGAAGCAGCTAAGGGTTAGCCTTATATATATGTACGCTTAAAGGAATCTTGAGGAATTGGATCCACTGAAATTAAATTAATAGAGGTTATTGAGTTAAATACTCTGTTTTTTTTTTAATTAAAATTACTTGAAGGACTATTCAATGAGTTTATATGATTGAGAGTTGAAAGTGTCATCTATATTTCATGTACCCTTGTCACACTCCTCGTCCCATGCGATTAATGAAATATTTTGTTGATTCTTGGTTAGGTCAAATAAATCAACAAATTGATACCAATTTTAACTTTGAAGTCTTCGTCCCATCTTGATTAACATTAAGAGATGCTTTGAAGTATACTTTTTTTACGTCTTTTGTGTGTGAACAAGGTGCCGAAGAAAGCTCCATCCAAATGTATATATACTATTTGTGGGCCAGCATAATATATTAATAATATAAAGAAATAAAACTGAAAATTTAAAAAAAAAAAAAATAGACTTTGGAATATATCCTTTTCTCTTTTGCCTTTACCAACTCTAGACATTTCTCGTTTATTATGCGTTAAAGAATCCAATTCAATATAGTTGTCGTACAGTGAAGGAAATATTATAGTTTATTATAAGGTTAAGGAATCAAATTACTCTCCTTGAATCGACAATTGTAAAATAAAAAATAAAAAATTGAAGGAATCAAATTACCCCTTTTTTTTATTTCCAATTTTAATTTTTAGTTGAGAAATGTAGTATTGCTGAGCCATTCACCTGTACAGTCCTCAATTCAAGAATCAGAGAGGTAACCATCAACTAAGATAAATTGATGTCAGCCCTTGTCCCTCTCTAGGTTACCTTGCAGAGCTTGGGACTTTTGGTATTTTGGATTTTGATATTTGTACAGTCCTAATCAAATTACACTCCTCACAACCGCACGTGCCGGGGGCGGGGGGGCGGGGGACACCAATTAAAAAAGGCACGACTCCCTTGTTGTGAGGAGGCTGTAGCTTTAGCACTTTTACTTTTTTGTTGACAAGGAAACTTGCAACCGCTATCCGAAGGTGCGCACTAGGTAAATCCGCCTTATGATCCTAGCCGGCAAAGGACCACAAGGAGGTAAACCAGCCTAGGTTACCCATAGCTGACCGGCTCTAACCAAGAAGGCCAATAGGCAACTCCAACGAGAATCAAACTAGCAACCTAACGATTGCTAGTCCAACTGCTCGACCAACTTTAGCACTTTTACTTTGTTTGCATGTTGGTGGATAAAACTTACTCTAAATTAAATATACTTTAGATAAAGAGAAAAAAATCAGTTTTCTTCATTTACAATTACAAATAATTGATTTATTTTATAAGCTCACAGATAGACATGAAAAGAAATATATATATTTCACTGTTCATTTCAACATTATGCATTGGCTATTCTCTTTAAAATTGTTTAAATTAAATACCCAATTGTAATTACAACACGTGCATCGCACATGCAATTAACTGGTATTTTAAAAGTTTCTTTAAAGTTTTCACGTCAGTACTACTTGACTGGGATTGGGATTCTGAATTAACTTCGGTAATGGGATGCATTTGTTCCTCCATTATTCTTGGAAGCCACATAGAGCGCATGATGTCGAGAAATTGTATACTATTCACGTCGCATTTTAGCTGCTTTGCTTGCTTTTTGATAATTGTTCTCCAGTGGTTCTTTATTTCGTTATCAGTTCTTCCTGGTAACCTTTTCGCAATCTGTGTCCACCTTCATTAATTTTTGTTTCAGACCAAATAATTAATGAAAATCGAGGTGACAACTGACAAGAGTAACATAACAAAAACAATTGTACAAAAAAGATGCCGAATTTGTATGAACATACCGATTTCCATAGCGCAAGCGTAGCTCTATAATATAAAGTTGTTCTTGAGGAGTGATGTTTCCTCGTCGAACATTTGGATTCAAGTAGTTCAACCATCTTAATCTGCAGCTCTTACCTGTACGCCTCAACCCTTAATCAATGGCGAAAATTGTTGCATAAGAGTAAAAGATGGCGATAAATGATATGAAAGTTATAAGTAACGATTCAGGAGATTTGATTATGATTACCTGCGTTACGGGAGAGGGCTTCCCATCCTCCTTCGCCATGGATAGCTATATAATTTATGAGTTTTGAGTCTTCGTCGCTAGACCATGGACCTTTTCTTATGCTTCTCTCTTCTTCTTTCTGAGGTATACTGCTGCCATATATTTCTTTGGCGTACATTGCTAGATTGAATAAGCAGCTAAGGGTTAGCCTAATATATATGTACACTTAAAGGAATCTTGAGGAATTGGATCCACTGAAATTAAATTAATAGAGGTTATTGAGTTAAATACTCTGTTTTTTTTTTAATTAAAATTACTTGAAGGACTATTCAATGAGTTTATATGATTGAGAGTTGAAAGTGTCATCTATATTTCATGTACCCTTGTCACACTCCTCGTCCCATGCGATTAATGAAATATTTTGTTGATTCTTGGTTAGGTCAAATAAATCAACAAATTGATACCAATTTTAACTTTGAAGTCTTCGTCCCATCTTGATTAACATTAAGAGATGCTTTGAAGTATACTTTTTTTACGTCTTTTGTGTGTGAACAAGGTGCCGAAGAAAGCTCCATCCAAATGTATATATACTATTTGTGGGCCAGCATAATATATTAATAATATAAAGAAATAAAACTGAAAATTTAAAAAAAAAAAAAATAGACTTTGGAATATATCCTTTTCTCTTTTGCCTTTACCAACTCTAGACATTTCTCGTTTATTATGCGTTAAAGAATCCAATTCAATATAGTTGTCGTACAGTGAAGGAAATATTATAGTTTATTATAAGGTTAAGGAATCAAATTACTCTCCTTGAATCGACAATTGTAAAATAAAAAATAAAAAATTGAAGGAATCAAATTACCCCTTTTTTTTATTTCCAATTTTAATTTTTAGTTGAGAAATGTAATATTGCTGAGCCATTCACCTGTACAGTCCTCAATTCAAGAATCAGAGAGGTAACCATCAACTAAGATAAATTGATGTCAGCCCTTGTCCCTCTCTAGGTTACCTTGCAGAGCTTGGGACTTTTGGTATTTTGGATTTTGATATTTGTACAGTCCTAATCAAATTACACTCCCTCACAACCGCACGCGCCGGGGGCGGGGGGGGGCGGGGGACACCAATTAAAAAAGGCACGACTCCCTTGTTGTGAGGAGGCTGTAGCTTTAGCACTTTTACTTTTTTGTTGACAAGGAAACTTGCAACCGCTATCCGAAGGTGCGCACTAGGTAAATCCGCCTTATGATCCTAGCCGGCAAAGGACCACAAGGAGGTAAACCAGCCTAAGTTACCCATAGCTGACCGGCTCTAACCAAGAAGGCCAATAGACAACTCCAACGAGAATCGAACTAGCAACCTAATGATTGCTAGTCCAACTGCTCGACCAACTTTAGCACTTTTACTTTGTTTGCATGTTGGTGGATAAAACTTACTCTAAATTAAATATACTTTAGATAAAGAGAAAAAAATCAGTTTTCTTCATTTACAATTACAAATAATTGATTTATTTTATAAGCTCACAGATAGACATGAAAAGAAATATATATATTTCACTGTTCATTTCAACATTATGCATTGGCTATTCTCTTTAAAATTGTTTAAATTAAATACCCAATTGTAATTACAACACGTGCATCGCACATGCAATTAACTGGTATTTTAAAAGTTTCTTTAAAGTTTTCAGAAGATTTTTAAATTTTATTAAAAATTTAAATACAAGAAAACTTTAAAATTCAGAATTTTCAAAATACTTCAAAAGTGTCCCAGATTTTGAATGTGTTCAAATTGAAACGCTAGTATGTTACCTGCAGAAATTACTTCTACACAGTTAAAATAATCCAACTTTTATTGCATTTTTCTAATAATTCTGGATCTTATTTGGCAGAATTCTTACAAAAAGACACTTAAGAGTTTTTTCATTAGTTTTTGACACAACAAACAGAAAAAATATACAATACAAATGCTGCCAACACACCATCTAAATCATTTTTTATCAACAATTAATCTAGTCGCACAAAACAAGTTGACAAAATAAGTGTTGGCAGAATCTTCGTCTTTGATTTCAAATAATTTTAAAAAGTGTTTTTGAAATGAATGGTGTAGATACAATTTTGTCAACTAATTTTTTTACAAGTAGTGTGATTCTTTTGTCATTAATTATCTATACCCATGAAATTATTCTTTGTCTAGAGTAAGTCGAAAATAAATTAATTTGAACTGACTGAAGAATTGTTCGTGCTGTGCATGCTTGCATCATAATAGATAGAGTCAGCTAATTTAGATCATGCCTACATCATATAGTGACGTCAAAATTTAATAAATTCGATGTTAAAGAATCATTCAACGAAAGCTAGTGGGTGAATACCTTTTGACTTTTTGTTATTCTCACCTAACCGCCCATTTAAAATCTTCCGTTGACGGATAGACTTTAAAATATAATCCTTTTAGAATTTTTTACACCTTGTTACTTGATAGAGCTGAATAAGGAATTAAGGATGCACATGAATAGAAGATGGATTATTCTACACCTTGATGTACACAATGGTCAAATGATATTTTATCATCGACTAATGGAAAAAACTGTTTTCTTACTAGCCATAATAAAATGTCACTTGAGCATTATATACACCAAGATGTACATGTAGCAAAATTTAAGACAGCTCCAAACATATTTATTTGTAGTCAAATTGAGTTTCTTTACTTTTTACTTGGAAAAAGTTAAAGTGAACACAAGTAATTAAGCCCATGTTTGACAGTTATTTTTTGGAAAAAATGAGTTTTTAAATAGTAATTTTTTTGAGAATGCGTGTTTAAAAAGTAAGAGAAAAATTTGGTTTTACGTGAAAAATATTTTATTGTGAGAATGTGTAATTTAAAATAAGTATAAAAGAAGAGTTTTGAATGAATAATTATCAAACATGGACTAAGTATTTCACTCTTTTTTACTCATCCACCTATTACAACCTTTGTTCACAAAATAATTCACTTAATAAATAAATAAATTATATTAGGTTAGGTTAGGTTAGGCTAGGCTAGGCAAAATCTGAGCATTTTTACAAGTAAAATACAATAAGATCAAAATGGATAACGAGTAATTCAGTTCAAAAATTGAGCTCCAAATACATCATGAGAATTACTGTTGATCGTATCCTATACTAATTTCAAGGTCGTATAGGGATTTCTCATAGCAACCTCCACTATGATAGAACCCAACAATGAGTTAATGAAGGTCCAGTGCTCTTGGATTGATCATCGATCTTGCTCTAGACTTAACCCTTGTCCCAAGAAACTTAACATCCACAAATAAAAGATTCACAGGCTAGAACACGCAGTATGTTATCAAGTTATGGTACGTTCAAAATTCATGGAATGTGACAATTAGTTACATATCCTAATAGTTCATTGCAGCATGGTTGAGGATAAAAACAACACCACTACTTAACAGTGGTGGATGCAGAAATTTTGAATTAGTGGGCCACAATCTCGGATAGGAGATTGGGCTGGGCTGTAACCCAGTCCCCTCCCCTGCTCCCTTAATAGTTTTTAGGGGCAAAAAATAATAATAATAATAATAAGTAAAAAAAAATTATGTGTACATTTAATTTTTTTATTTTATTCCCCCAAAGGCCAAATAAAATTTTCTCATTCCAATAAAACACGCGGTGGCATACTGGCTTCTATAATTTTCTAGTTTATTCACTCGCCACCACTCTCTCTTTCTCTCTTCTCTTTGTTTCATCATTTACCCTCTCTCTTCACTCTCAGTTCTCTCACTTTCTTTTTTCATGATAATTACATACACAATACAATACACATTTCTCTGAACGACAGCCGAATAATTCAATACCTATGTGTTGACTGTCCAAAAAACTTTGCCCAACTCAGTTCCTAAATTGTGATATCATCAATCATGGACGGATTCATCATGAGACTTTTAAAAAAAAAAAAAAGACATAAACAATACACACAACTAAACACATTTATAGTATGCTATGTCGGTGGAAGAGTGTTCATCAACATAAGAAGAATAAGAATGGGTTTTGATTTTCCAAGGGAAGGGAACTAGGGATGGGTTTCGATTTTTCCATTTGGGCACTGGAGTCTTCTTCTGGGTTCTGCTGAAAAGGACTGAAAGCCAAAAAACAAAAAATAAAAATCAATTTTTGGAAGTTGGTGGGTCATGTGACCCACTAGGACCCATTGTGGGTCCGCCTCTGCTACTTAATTAAAAAAATATTAACCTATATACAAATTTATGGATTACTCATGTTAATCATATTGGTTTTTAGGATAGACACTCATCATAAACATCCTTATTGTAGTCACATATGGAGTCTAAACGGTTTCCACACTGACTTATTTTGCAAAGTTTAATGTAAGTGTCGAGCAACATTCTTCAACATCAACCAACTGTGAAAATAATAATAATAATAATAATAAATAAATAAAATAAAATAATTAATAATAATAATATGACAAATTTATTAAGAAAACAAAAATCCAGAGTTGGAGGGTCTCTAAGATGAAAAAGAAAGTTTAGGATTGTTATTGAAATATTGGACTCAAGAGAGAATATATTTTAATTTTTACTTAACATATTTCCCTGCCCTAACTATTTATATGGGGCTGTTAATCTTTTGTACTTAACTGGGCTGGATCCACATGCCCACTGGACGCGGCACCAACGAACTGTCGAGAATAGAATTAAAAATTAAAACAATATATGCTGGAAAATATAGAATATAAACATTTATAATAGAAATCTCAAAATATTTTTCAATCATTGTCATTCTTTAATTGCCTCAAGTTACTTAATTTTTTATTTTCTTTGTACGCTTCTTGGCTATCATCGTAACCTCAACTATCACCTCCAATCGGCTCTACACCATCACTCAGATTCACGTCTAGTTAGAGAAAGAAAGAGAATCAAATAAGAGAGAAAGTGTTCTTGAAATTTTTTTTGGCAATTTGAATATACACTTTTTTTTTGGTCTATTTTTGTTCAGAATATAAATTAAAGCTATTAAGAATTGAAAAATAAATAAAAATAGGGTAATTAGTACAAAAAGTCCCTATCTTTCGATATTTTTGTAGAAAACGTTCCTACCTTTCATTTTTGGCGGATTACACTCTCACCTTTATTTTTTTTTTTTGCGCAAAACATCCTTCTGTCAACTTCCCATTAAAATGCTC